ATAAATATGAACTGGTGACTCCAGCAATAAACCTGCCTTTGATTCTAGCTAATCGGTGATTACCAAAGAAGTAGAAGGGAGACAGTGCCCCCCTCCATAGGAATATATTTCTCTGAAAAACCAAAAGCAAAACTAAGCCCCGTGTTGTTGAGTCCAGTTGCTCTAATTCCGACTCATGGTAACCTTGACTGGGGTTCTGAGGCTGTAAATCTTTATGGGAGGAGACTACCCGTCTTCCTCCTGTGGAGCAGTTGGGTGGGTTCAAACTGTTGACCTTTCAGTTCGCAGCTTTACAGGATACACATTGTGCTGCTAGGGTGCCTATTTATGTCCAGAGAATAAACACAGCCAACATTTTCTGAGTATAGACATACTCATATTGTAGATTCTGCTCACGAGCCTCCCTTTCAAGCACACTGATGAGTGCACATGCACAACTGAGGACCTGTAACAACAGGTTAGGCGCCATCAAGTTGGTTATCAACTCTTCTCAATCTCTTAAGACAGTACAAAACTGCCTGCCCCATACAGGGTCTTCTAGGCTATAATTTTCCCCACTCCCCCTCGGCTGTCATTTTTATGGGAGCAGATCACCAAGTCTTCTCTTCCTCAGGACCAGTGGGTGGGTTCACTCACCAACCTTTAGTAGCAGTCAAGCCCTTCACTGCTGTGCAGCCGTTTAGTGACTGTGCTCCGTGAAGGCAGAAAAACACTCGGGAACCTCTGTTCTGGCTTGTCACACACACACACACACACACTTGTACTTGACTAGTCCCCTGACCTTTACGGTGCTCCAAAGTGAATTCACCTCCTCACCCAGACAAATGTCACACCACCAGCTTCTTGACAGGGAGCTTTTTTGACACCTCTCTCTTCGGGTCTTGCTCGCTCCTTGCCCCTGTCTTACGTCAGGTCACCTTAGCAGGCCTTCCCTTGCTGCATCTCGGTCCTCTCCACAGCCCAGGTCTCCCCCCACCTAACTCAGGACAACCTCCATCTCCCTTGCGATTTTAAAGCCTCTGAAAAACTGTTGGAGGGTCAGTCAGCCGGAGGAATCAGCTGGAGGATCCACAATGAGCCAGCTCCCACTCAAAGGTACAAATTCTAGCTACTGACCAACTGCCAGCCTCTTGCCTGCTCCAACCCATCCCACACACACTTCACCTGCTCTCTTGCCCCCACAGGTATGTGAACCTTTCTCTCTGAGGCCTGACCTCAGACATCATTTCCATCAAGTCACTTCTTCCCCATTTAAATTCTTTTTTGGTTTAAATTACTATTCTTTTCCTGCTTAAGGTCCCACTTTACTTTTATTCTGAGCATAGCCTTAAGAAGGGTCAGCCCTCAAAGAACATATAATGAATGAATGAATGAGCAAATGGTTGAATCCCCACCAGAGACCATGCACAAGATTCTTTTCCAGTTCCTTCCCTCTTTACTCCAAAGCTGCCACTCTCATTTCTAACTGTTCCTCCACATAGTTCTTTCACTCAAGCCAAGGTGTCTCCTTCCTACCACTACCACCACCACCACCACCAAATCTCATCTCTCCAATCCTCCATTCTCCTTCAAACCAGTTTGCCCACTTCTCTGCTTCCCTCCTTTCCAGCCATCCTCCAAACATCCTTCCAGTCAGTGACTCTAAATATCAGCTCTAAATCCAGTGAGTCTTCCACCCACCCCACTCACCCCCAACCCCCGCATTTGACCAGTCCTTTGTCTTTTGTTCCTAATCCACTCATCAAATATTTAAGCAGCTCTGGGGCAGTTCTACTCTGTCATAAGATAACAACGGTGTGGCTGGCCCCTGTCACTGTGCTAGGTGGCGGAGACAGATTATAGATGTAATTCACATGCTCCAGAGCTCTCAGTCGGGTCAGAGACAAGACTGTAGAACCCTGAAGCATTCCTGATTCAAGTGGTAAAGGGCACTGAACCAACCTGCGTAAGCTGGGCACTACAGTTGAGATCTGCTAAAGATGATTCTGAAATCGTTTCTTGCTAGTCTGTTGGCACTGACTCAATGGCACTGGGCTTGGTCTGGTTCGTAGACTGTAAATTCTGTAAGAGCAGGGATCTGTCTCCTGTTTGCACTGCCACCATCTTCCCTTACCCTCCTCATCCCTTCCTGCGAGTGCATGCACACCGCACGTTTATATGTGCCCACACACACAGGCCCCACGCAAACACTGGGGGCTCTGCAGACCACCAAATGCTGAAACTGCAAGGCTCCCGGCCAGCCTTGTGCAGACTTACATACGGCCCTTCTTTTCCCACCCTTTATAGCACCAAGCTGGGCTCCTTTCCAATAATTGTCCCACCCCATCCAGCCTAGATGGCCTCAGCCCCCAGGCACTCTCCTTTATCTTTCAGGGCTAACTTTATCCTGTTTTCCAAACACAGATGTTTGCTGAGTAATTACCACTAATAATACCAATAATAACAACATAAAAGCTAGCATTTAAAATCAGAAGCAGCAGTAGCCACTTAGATTTATTGAGCGCTTTCTATTTGCTATACCCCACTAGGCATACTGGTTGACTCCACCAGCTGCTTTGTAAGAGAAAGATGAGCAATCAGATCCTGTACAATCTATTGCCTCTGAAAACCAGCTGAAGGGTCAGCTATGAGTCAGTTTTGACTCGATGACACACAACAAGAGTGGGCACTGGTGGTCCTGTGGTCGAGTCCTCATCTTCCCTGTGAAAGACCTGTGTTTGAGCTCCAGCCAACACACCTTACCACCTGTGTCAGTGGAGGCTTGCTATGATGTGACAAGGTGTTGGCAGAGCTTCTAGACTGAGAGGAACTGGGGAGAAAGGCTTGGCAATCTACTCTGTAAATCCAACCCACTCCCACTGCCATCGCTTCAATTCTAACTCATAATAACCCTAAAGGGCAGAGTAGAACCAGGGTTAACAATTCAAAATTTCTCTAGAATCTTTATGGAGGCAAACCGCCTCATGTTTCTCTTGAGAAGCAGCTGGTAGGTTGAACCACCAACTTTCTGGGTAGCAGTTGAATGCTTTAACCATGGCACTGCTAAGGCCCCTTCCTGAAAATCATCCTGAAAGCCCTATCTATGGCTGACAACATTCTGACGTGCACATGATCCCAGGGACAGGACGGGACTGGGCAGTGTTTCCATAGGGTTGCTGTGAATTAGGGGCCAACAGGATGGCAGCTACAAAAACAACCTTCCTCTACTAAAATTTAAACTCCATAAGGGTGGAAATTTTGTTCACTGCTGTAATCCCAGAACCTCACAATTTGTTTAATTTAAGAGTAGCAAGCACAACTGGTTGGCATCAAGCCAATTCCAACTCATGAAGTCCTCATATGTATCAGAGAACTTTGGTTTTCTGATAAGGTTTTCAACGGCTGATTTTTCTGAAGTAGCTCACCAAGTCCTTCTGAGGCACCTCTCAGTGGACTGAACTCTCCAGTTAGCAGCAAAGCAAAGTAAGGGCTTACACTGTCCAGGCACTTAATAAAATGATTGAGTACTTAGCATGTATTCATCTATTTAATCTTCAGAGAGCACTGTTGAGGTGGTGGCTATTACATCTATTTTACAAAGACATTAAGAGGGTAAGTAACTTACTCAGCTTTTAACATGGTAGAAGCTGGATTCAAATGTAGATGATCTACCCCCAAAGAGAGAACAGGAATGAGTTCACAGGGCAGTCAGGTTGCGGCAAAGATCCTGGAGGCAACGCAGTCTTAAGTGGAAGAGAGGAACTAGGGAGGCAAGAGATAAGAACAGCAAGGCAATGATAGAGAAAGTGCTATTTGGGGAAGGAATGCCTAGAAACATGGGACCAGAACAGAGAAGGGGGAGTGAGAAGGAGTTAGAGAGCAAAGTTTCAAAAAAGACAACTGAGGAGATTGGTAGAAAAGGAAGGAATAATTGGAAGAAGCCAAAAAGACAAGGGGAGGAGGGAAGCAAGCATTGGGCCAAGGAAAAGCAGGAACCTGGAGAAAGAGGAGACCTGGCACAGGCAGAGATAACTACCCAACTAGCCGGGGAAGCCAGGCGTTCAAATATTTAGACAAGTCCAGCACAAGGGGTAAAGATCAAGGATACGCTGAAACAAGGCAAGGGAAGAGAAAGGGACATTTTTCCAGTGACGAAAACAACTCTCAACCAACTTCCCCAAACTGAGTTGAAGGAGAAACCAGAGGATTGGTGTTTAGGTCTATGGGAGGACGGAGGCAGGGACACTGACAGGGTGGAGGTGGTACTAGCTACTTGGGTGGAGGTGGGAGGCAGTGTCAGTTCCACCAAGACCACTCTGCCTGAGACCTGAGCCACAGGGCCAAGGGACAAGAATGTCCCAAGTGAAAGGCCCAGGGATACAGCAGGCCCTTTGGCCGGCCTGCCCTTTTGCAGTTACCACTCCACTCCTAACCCCTGCCCCCTTCCATGGAGCATTCCAAACCTACTCTACAACTCATGCCCTTTCCTAGACTCAGTTTCCCCATTTTACCAGCCATCCAGTTTCATCCTTCAAACACAACTTGCTGGACTAGGTTCTATGAACAGCCTCACCTCCCCACAGCCTGACATACTCCCTGTCGGCGGGCTGACCAGGGGGACAGAATTCTGAACTTGGTGTCTTCGGGGCTCTGAGGCTGGGTCTTCCTTCTTCCACTCAGTCGTTCCCGCCAAATCTGTCCCTACCCATGGCCTATCACTGGACCCACATTCCAAAACATCCCGAAGCACCACCAAGTTTCTTGGCTACCAGGGCCCAACATTCCCTTTTTAATTTTTTTCCCCTCTCCCCCTTTCAAACATCTCCATTTCCTCCAAATCATCTGCTTCACCAGCCCTCTACTCGAAGAGGCAGAGGCGGATGAATGGGAAACCTGAACTTGGCCCTGTTTACACAGGGGTTGGGCAGCCCTGAGGCTGGGTCCAAATGGGATCTCGCCCCCTGCCCCCCGGCCGCACCTGCCTGGCCTTGACCCCCCTCCTTGCCAGGTCCCCGTCTTACCAGTGGCGGCAGCAGGCCAGGGACGGTGGGGAGGCCCATGTCCGGCCTGTTGGCCTCTCATTCCCCCATCAGGACTCAGGGCAGTGGCGGCGGTGGCGGCGGTGTCCCAGGGTCCACGGGATCCCTATTGGAACCTGGTTAGACCTGAGGGGTCGGGGAGCTTTGACGGTTGAGGCTCAGGGTGGAGATCACGTCCTGGTTCCGGGGACCTCAGACCCCAGACGCCTGAGCCGTGAGAGCTCCGAGAAATTTAGAAAGAAGGGGAGAGGAGGTGGGAGGGGAAGGAGAAAAGGCGGTGTTGCAACAGCCGCGCGACAGGAAGAGCCCGGGGTGGAGGCGGCGGGAGGGGGCGGTAGAGGTTCTTAACCCTTTTGCAGCTCAAATCAGAGAACTAAAGGGTTCAGATCCTGAGGCCTTGGTCTCCAACCCAGCAGCTGCACACTCCCTACCCCACCACCGGCCTTTCCCAAACGGAACTCCAGCCGAAAAGCAACCAAAAGACGCTTGGAGTCAGTCACCTCCACTTTTCTGCCCCTCGGCTTCATAACTATAGTTTGAACTTTTTTACACACTATTTCAGTTTCTACATGTATGATATACCATGGACTGCTAGGAGTACAAACAGGTTTGTCCTGGAGAAGATGAAGGCGGAATGCTCCTTGGAGTCAAGGATTCTGAAGCTTCGTCTGACATAGTTTGAGCATGTTGCAAGGAGGGACCCATCCTTGGAGAGGGACATTATGTTTGGCAGAGTGGATGGGACGGCGCAGGAGAGGAAGACCTTCAATGAGATGGATCGATTCTGTGACTAGAGCGGTGGGAATGAGTGTGTTTGAGATGGCTAGGATGGCACAGGATAGAACAGCGTTTAGAGCTCTTGTACATAGGGTCGCTATAAGTCGCAAGCGACTAGATGGCACATAACAACAACAACAACAACATGTGTGATACAGTGGTACTGATTATACGTTCTTCCAGGATTGGCCACTTTTTAGGTCTGCAGTCTTGGACATAGAACCTCCGACTGTGGTAAGAATTCGTTAAGAAAGGACAGAAGAAATTAATAAGTATTTAATATTAGGAACCTTACCCTTTTGCCAAGTGTTCCAGGCAGATATCCTATCACTTTGTTGGAAATTAACTCCTCACCCCAAACCTCAAAGTCCTACAACTAGTTGTATGTCATGCCTGGGACCCTGACATCAGGGCAGCCCCCTAACTGCTTGTCCTGCTGTGTCACTAGCCAATTCTGTGACCACAGGCAGAAACTCCACTGAGTCTCAGCTCCTCGTTTATTAAATGAGGTCACAAAGAATGGCTGGCGCACCTAACCGAGCATTAATGAGACCACATGCATGAAGAAGCTTGGGAAATTACAGCTATCTTTTTCAATTTCCTGGGTAGCACAAAAGATTTGAACTCACTTGTCTGCTACTCTAAAGGTTGGCATTTCAAATGCACCAAGAGCCATCACAGGAGAAAAGCTTAGAGATCTGTTTCTGTAGAAATTACAGCCAAGAAATCCCTATGGGGCATTTTTACCCTGTCATAGAGAAGGATCGTGGCTAAAAGCCAAGAGTACCAGAGGAATGTCTATCTGTGTGTCATGGACTATGCAAAGGCATTTGACTATGTGGATCTGTGACTAACTCTGAGAAGAATGGGAATCCCAGAACACTTGGTTGTGCTTATGTGAAACCTATGCTCGGACCAGGACCAGTCAACAGAACAGAGCAAGGAAACACTGCATAGTTCAAAACTAAGAAAGGTGTACACCAGGGATGCATCGTATCTCCATACCTTTTCCATCTATACATGGAACAGATCATCTGGGAGAATGGGCTCTATGAGGAGGAATGTGGCTTCAGGATTAGAGGAAGACTCATCAAAAACTGTGTTATGCAGATGACACAACCCTGCTTGCTAAAACTGAGGAGAACCTGAGGCATTTGTTGTAGAAGGTCAAGGATAGTCATCAATATGGATTGAAGCTCAGCATCAGGGAAAAAAAGATTTTCACCTCTAGGCTAATTGCAGCATCATGACAAATGAAGAAGAGATTAACAGCTTTAGCTAGCTTGGCTCCACAATCAACACTCTTGGTGCCAGGAGCCAGGAAATCAAAAGATTTGCATTGGGAAAATGTGCTGTCAGGGACTTCTCCAGAAGTACAGAAGAGCAATGATGTCAGTCCAGAGACTAAGGTGTGCCTGATCCAGGCCTTGGTCTTCACAATTACTTGCTATGCATTAGAGAGCTGGACAATGACTAAGGATGATAGAAGAATCAATGCCTTTGAGTTGTGATGCTGGAGAAGAGTACTGAATAAACCACGGACTGATAGGAGAACAGGTCCATCCTGGAGATAGTGAAACTAGGCTGCTCCTTGGAGACAAGGATTTTGCAGCTCAGTCTGACATTCTTTGGGCATGTTGGAAGGAGGGACCAGTCCTTGGAGAGGGAAATCATGCTTGGAAGAGTGGAGGGACAGTGTAAGAGAGGAAGACCCTGGATTGGGATGGATTGACTGAGTGACTGGGGTAATAAGGGTAGGTATGTTGGAAATCATAAGGATGGCTCAAAACAGAGCAGAGTTCAGAGCTGTTGTATGTAGGGTTGCTATGAGTTAGAATCAACTCTATGGCACATAACAACAGGGGGTTCACTATGAGTGAAAATTGGCTTAATGACTAGAGGTTGGAGTTGTTTGGGTCTACTAAATATTACTAGTATAGTCCTGATGGCCACTCTCACATACTCTGACACATCAAGAGCATGGACGTACCTCTCCTGATTGAGGAAACTGAGGCCTGTAGACCCACACCATGTTTCTGCATAACCAGTAGGAGTCCAGGGTTCTCAGCCACCAATCCAGAAGCTTGTTTGCTGAGACAGACACAAGTCACTACCATTTTTCTTTGCTCCCTTGAGTCAGATCCCAAAGGCTGGGATACTCTTGAAGTATTTTATGCCTCCTTCCAATATGCAGGACATCTCCCAAATGAGCCCCACAAAAAGGGCACAATATTCATCCAAATATCCTCTGAACACATTGACTTTTCCTACGTGCAGCCTAGGCCAGAGATCCCCTCGCAAGTGAGGCTGCCAGACAGGTAGGGAACAACCTGAGGGCTGAGATCCCAGAGGTTTGTGACTTGGAATCAGAGCTTCTAGCATATTCAGCCTTTAATGGACCATTCTGCCCACCCACCTCAGAGTCCATTTCCCCTGGCTGTCTCTTGCCTCCTCTCTGTCATCATAAAGGAGCAGAGTATCTCTAAATGAGGAAGGAGCGTGGAGTAGCTTTCATGGGCAGATTACCCAATCAGCACAGTATGAGTCTACCTGTGCTTACTTACTAATCTGCTTCACTGTCATCAAGTTGAAAGGGGCTCATAGCTGATGCCCCATTGGGTTTCCAAGGCTGTAAGAGGCGAGAGATGATTATCTGTCTTTCTCCCGTGGAGCTTCTGGTGGATCTGAACTCCCAAAATGGCATCATTTTCAGATTAGCAGTGCAACGGCACGGACTCTGTTACTAATCTGAGGTGCACAATTTTACATGGGCTGTACCCTTGCTTACCATGCTACCTGGGTATTCCAGTGAGAGACTGGAAGTTTGAAAGAAGACTAATTCTGTAGGAAAGTAGTATGGGATTGAAAGAGAGATGCCAATCACACTTGAGGCAGAATCGTTGAAGTCATTGAAAGAAGAAAAAACAAACAAACAAACAAATATAATATTATTCATTGTTGTTGTTATTATATGTTGTCATCAAGTCGAAAACCAACTCATAGTTGACCCTCCTCTTGTGGGTTTTTAAAGGCGATAAAACACACAAGAGGAAATTGCTCATCCTCCTAGGGAGCTGCTGGTAGATTTGAACCATATGCCTTTGGAATCGAAGCAAAGCTTCTTACCACAAAGTAGTAAATAAACACAAGCCTGTGTTTAGAAGCCGAGTGGTAAGAAGCTGTGGTTCAAATCAACCAGCTGCTCCTAGGAGGGAAATGGGCACTTTCCTCTCATGAGATTTATGACTTATGGCTCTGAAAATCCCCCGGAGGGTCAGCTATGGTTCTGTTCCAAGTACATACAACAAGCAGCCGCCTGTGTTTCTCTTGCTTATTTGGTAATCTGATAATGATGCGCCCTACTACTGGGCGGAGCCACCTTCACCCACTCCACCCTTCAGCTTCTGAAGTCTTAGAGGATTGGCTCCTAGGAGAAAGAGTTTACCTCCACCAACACACCAAAAGAAAAAAGCCCTCACCAATCCAGTGACTGACAGTGTACCTACAGAACGCAGTAGAACTGCTCCTGGGATTTCAAAGGCTGTGTGTCTCTACCGGAGCAGGCTGCCTCATCATCTCCCAAGGAGTGGTTGGGAGGTTTGAACCACCAAGCTTTCTACAAACAGAGGGGACCAAAGTATACGAGTGGACCCGAAGCAGAGTTCTTGAAGATATAGGATCATTAGAACAAACTACTAGAGTCAGATTGCCCAGTTTTCAATGTGGAGTGGAAGAAAAGCCCTGAGCTCTGCATTTGAAAAAATTAGAATCATGCCAGTGTCCCTCGAAGAACTGCTTTGATGATTGAATGTGTGTATTTAGGAGCACTGGCCACCCAGTGAGCAATCATTGAGAGGAAACAACGTGAATACTTTGTAGTAATAACTTCAATGTCCTTTTTTAATAATACAAAGGACTTTCTCATAATCTGTGCAATCTGCCAAGGCCATTATTAAACATACCCTGGCACAAGTGAAGAATTTCTTTCATTGTTTAAGAGAAATGTTTATTTACTCAATAAGCTTAAAGTGTTGAAAAATTGTGTGTTCAATTGTTGGGTGTAATTCCATTTAAAAACAAAGGTGGTGAGAAGTGGGTAGATCCAGGTATATGAAAAGCTAATTACTGGTCTTAGGGAGGTGAAAATGTAAGACCCCACTCCATCCAAAGGAGGAAGATTATGGTAAAGGAGAGAAGGAAAGAGATGGAGACGAAAGGATGGCAGGGTTGATTGTTAAGACTTG